TCCATTCTTAAAGAAATTTTTATTTAAAGGATGAACAATACGTAACACTGCTTGGTGTGTGTATGTTTCAGTGAAAGGCATTACACTGTAAAAACTCATTCTACAACTTTTTTCCCTCTAAACTGTAATTTTTAGGATGTAGTAAATATATTACTATGTATAAATAGATCTAATTCTACTAACTGGAAAAAACACTCAACACTCATGATAGAGGTTGTTTCTAGGGACCTAGGGAGGGGAATGAGGCTTGGAATGGCACAAAAAAGCATGTGAACTTTATATATAATGTGTTCTTTATTTGATTAAATATTGAAGTAAATCTGACAAAATGGCAACAATATTAAGGATTTGAAAATATAGTCTTATTTTCTCACTCTAGTAAACAAACAAAAATTTTCCTTTTATATGTAAATAACTTTTTAAATTTCACCAAGAAAATGTCTTTAAAATTCACAAAGAAAGATTGCTGTTGGCTGTTTAATGTCTTCTTTGCTCCTTACTCTGCTTTGGGGGGGCTATGGCCCCTCGTGCTCATCGGCACAGCAGCATGGATCCAGTTAGCTTTGGTGCCTCATCAGAAAGAAACCTGCGTTGCACACTGATGTATATCTTAGCAGGCTCTCCAGGCACTCTGTTCTATCCTCTGCATCCTTTCAGCCCATGCAACCCCTCCTTAGTCACCCTGGGAGGACGATGATCTTTTTGAAACTCATGACTATGGACACACACTTTCTGACATTATCCAGTACTCTCTGTGGGCTCTTGATCAACAATTGACCTTGAATAAGCTCTTTCCCTGGGAAGTGTGAAACTCCAATGTAAAAGCAAGAAATCCATGTTCACAAGATGGCAAAGCCCCTGATTCTGTGTGCTTCTTCCCTCCATTCATTCAGTAACTCTTTAAGACCGTGCTCTATGGTAGGCACTGTCCTAGATGCAGGGGATATAGCGAAAAGATGAAGATCTGTCCTTGGAGTTTCCCCCCTTATTGGGGAGTTGGTAGATAGGCAATGGACAAATTAAGTAAGTAATTATCTGGTATATGAGAAGGTGGAGAATGCTATGGAAAGTAATCACAGATACAAAGCACTAGGGGTGGGTGGTGGAGGAAGGCATCACTGCAAAGGCAACATGTGGGCATGTTGAAGGAAAAAGAAGTTGTGATCCATGTGTATATCTAGGGATAAAAACATTGCAGGCAGAAGAAAAAGCAAGAGCAATGGACCTGAGGTAGGAGTATGCATGGAATTCTCAAAAAACGGCTCCCATGTGTATGAGGAATGCAAGGGAATGGCTAGAGAGATACTCAATTGCAAAGTTTGCTCTTCCCGCCATGTGAGTGCTACTCAAAGTGTAGTTATCTAAGGGCAGCATTGGTCTCACCTGAGAATATGTTAGAAATCCAGATTGTTGTGTATCAGCCCAGACCTACTGTAACAGAATCTCTGGGGTGGTTTTTTGTTTTGAGATAGAGTTTCGCTCTTGTTGCCCAGGCTGGAGTGCAATGGCACAATCTTGGCTCACTGCAACCTCCGCCTCCTGGGTTCAAGCGATTCTCCTGCCTCAGCCTCTCGAGTAGCTGGGATTACAGGCACACCTCACCACACCCGGCTAATTTTTGAGAAACCACAACAGTGTTTCTCCTTGTTGGTCAGGCTGATCTCAAACTTCCATCCTCAGGTGATCCACCGACCTTGGCCTCCCAACGTGCTGGGATTACAGGAGTGAGCCACCGCACCTGGCCCAGAATCTCTGGGGGTGTTTTAATTCTCCACCTGATTCTTATTCATGCTAAACTTCTCCAACACTCCTAATAATAAAAAGAAAAAAGCATCAATTTTTGGCTTCAAAAATCCTAAGATGAAAATGTAATTCTGTCCCTTACTAATACTCTTAATACTGGATTCATTGCACAATTCTTCCAGGCCTCAGCTTCCTTGTCTATAAAGCAGACAAATCCACGCCTGCTCATTTTAACCAGGAGTTCCTTTAAAAAATGTAAATATCAAATGTGATGGCAGATGTTAAAGGAATGTGGTGACTGTAAATCTTTTGACAAATGTGGGGTTTTATTATGATGTACATAAGCCCCAAGCCCATCTACCCTGAGGCATTTGTACTTTTCTGTACCCGCTGCCCTCAGTCCCCACCCCCTCATCCCCCACAACTACCGGCAATGCTACTGGGCTGGTAAAGACTTGCCCATGGAAAGCTCACAGTGAGTCTGATCTGATTTTGTTCAATTTGGCACAGAGCCTTGGCATTGGAGACTGCAGCTGGTGAAGTGCTGCCATGATGTATGTGATACCTGTCCTCGCTTTGGCAGGCCAGACCCTGGCCACCGAGCATTTCAGACTAGGATAATGGCACAACAGAGAGGCTTGCGACACTTAGCCTAGAACACTTCCATCATTCTTTCTATCCCAAAGTATTTGTTATGTTTTAGGCAAACAGTACACGTTTGCTTGGTGTGTGCAGTGAAGAGGACACCGGGTTTGGAGTCAAAAGAAAGGGGTTCCAGCCCCGAGTTCACTAGAGGACCCAGAGAGCTCATAGTACCATTCTGAGCTGGCCCTTGCTATCTACTTCCCAAGGGGGTGGGAGTTACCTAAAATAACATACGTGAAAGCTCTTTGTAAAAAGTAAAGCACCATGTAAGAGAGTAGGACATTGTTATCATAATCCACTTCCTCAGTAGGTCAGTCACTCAATAAACAGCCGACAAATATTTACTGAGACCACAAAGTACCTGGCTCTGTGCCAGGCTCTGGGACACAGCAGTAAATGACAGAATAAATCCACACGGTGTGTGGCGCTTATATTCTAATAGAAGAACAGAGAAAACAAACAGCAGCCACAGTAAAACATGTAGTCTGTCCAATGGTAGTAAGTGCTTTAGAGAACAAGAAACGAGAGGAAGCTGGGTTGTAGGAGGAAGGGGATTATAAGGTCAGAGAGGGTAGCTAGGAAAGGCATTGCCGAGAAGGTGCAGGAAGGGATCGAGTCTGCCTCAGTGTTGCAAGCTCAAATCATGCTCAGAACATATTGAGACCAGTTCTAGGCCTGTTTGGTCTTCATATACCCATGATCCAGAATACTTGCAGAATTTTCCTTATTTCTAGTCTTTTGTACCATATTTGGGATAATTAGCTGAATATCATCAGTGCCATGGATAATTCATGCAAAGGCACAAACCCAAGCCATATGAATGGCCTATTTGATTTTTTTTTTTTTTTACTGAGGCTTCTGGGACAGTGGCTGTTGAATAAATGCCTCTTCTACCAACCCCAGAATCCAGTGATGTTTCACCAGCATGAAGATGGGAACCACATGCTATACTTATAGACTAAACTTCATGTCCTTATTTTTATTGTTAACATTACTGTTTTGATTCTATCATTCGCTCCTATTTGCTGAGCATCTACTATAGGCTTAGTATTTAGCAGCTATAATGAGAAAAGGAATTATTTTTTTTAAAAATGACTATAGCACTCTCACACTGTAGAGGGACAGGATGCATATTTAGATATCTAGGTGAATTTTTCGTTTCTGCAAAGGTGGGCTCCAGAGCCCAGTGTGAAATGGGAGTATCGAGTAAGCTATGTAATCAAGTAAGAGAATGTTTTTATTTTCCAGTGGCAGATGTGGGGTTTGGGGTTCAGGGAACCTGGAAATAGGAGGATCTAAGCGAAGGTGATGGGGACTATGGGAGCAGGTCCCAAGAAATGGAGGGCAGCCAGATTTGAAAGAACAGGAGAGTAATGAGAATTCCCTGGGGCCAGAATGGGCAAGAAGTTTAAGAACAGTAGAAATTCACATTTTACTTTAAATGTGTTTTCTGTTCCATGCTGTAGCTCTCCTCCATCATCAAAACCCTCAGTAAAACCTGCTGTATACCACCTTCCTATTGTCTTCAGGGCACGAAGGAGAATGGAGCTAGATCTGCAACAGAAGCTACAGAAAACAAGATGGCCATTCAGGTCCCGGGAGAAGCCAGAGTTGAACACAAGAGAAGCACCCACCACACCCACCCACAGAGAATCCCAGGGACTAAAGTCATTTTGTGTTTGCCTTCAACTTAAGATAGGTCCCAGAGAACTGGAGGATATGGGGACCAGGATGCCTCATTGCACAACTCCAAGAGGCACATTACAGCCAGTGTACAGGAGGGCACGACACTCAAGTTACATACACATCATCTCATTTAATCTTCACAACTCTCCTGGAAGAAAGGCATTATTATCCTTGTCTTACAGATAAAGAAACTGAGACTCCAATAATATGTCATATGTCACAGTCATTGTATGTCTAACCATTAGGGGGAATCAGTGTTCAGACTCAGTTCATTCCAACCTCAAAATCCACTCCAATCCACCTATTTCTATGAAGTAGTGAATGCAAGAGGGCCCCCCACATACAGTACCTCCCACAGTCCCTTCCATCTTCTCTAAGATCCTCACGTTCTAGGTTCCCCACACCTCAATCTCCATATCTGCCCCTAGAAAATGGAAACATTCTCTTAGTCAATTTTATGACATATTCAATACTTCCATTTCACAGTAGGTTCTGGAGTCCAACTTGCAGAAATAAATGTAGCTCTGCGACTTCAGAACTATACTGCTCCACCTAAATTCAGGCAGCAAGAACCGACAGTGACTTAAAAGGACCCCAAAATCCAGTAATTTTGAAACACCACATCATAGCTACGCAAAAACTTTGCCTGTTTTTTATCCAGACCTATGTGCATGCAAATATATACATATAGGTCTGGATAAAAAACAGGCAAAGTTAGGCAGAAGCGTAGAGGAGTTCATAAGTGAAGGGAAATTACGGCACATGAGATACTCTGCTTGCTTCTTTCTGCCTTAGTCTCAAATCCAAATCCCACTCCATTTAAAATACGTAACTCGGTTTTCTAAGACAACTCCAAAAGATCATTGTAATCTCCTGTTTCCCTTTCCCCTATGAAAGCTGCAAATGCAATCCATTTAAAACATTACCAAGGCTGTAGACTGACTGTAGCCAATCAACTCTCAGCACCAGAGGAGTCCTGAAATCAAGTCTTATTTCCCTGGAGCTTTTCCACCTTCTCCATTATCTTCTCTCCCCAGTAACGTCCTCAATATCTTCCATTCTGCTTGCAGTCAGCACGTGAGCTCCAGGCATCCAATACCAGCCTTCTCAACATTTTCATTTTCATGTTTACCTCTTCATTTCCATTCAGTCCTTCGACCCCTCTCTATGTGACTCAGCTTTCAATCAGGACAAATGTTTCTTTGCTCCTTTGATGCTGTGAGTCCAGTAGAAATCAGGTGGCTGCAAACAAGTGTTCTATGGCTTGTCACTCTGGCCAAGAAATGAATAATTTAGACTTGTGACAAGCTGATTCGGTAAGATAAATCAAATCCCACCATGGGCCAGAGCACTCACTTTGAAGGACTCCCTGTCATTGGTTCCAGAGAAGCTTGTCCAGGCTTTAGTCATGATCTAAAAGATTCTACATCAAGCAAAGACAGAGGATGCTATTAGTGGTAACTGAGAAGGTGGACACATCCTTCCTCTTGCGAGGCTAGCTAAGTTATTCTTAGGCCACCCAAATAAAAGTACCAGATCTTATATAAGCCCTGATGCCTGTTCTCTGGAGGAAAATCTGTTTTTGATAGTTCAAGTTTCCCCATTTAAAATTTGCAACATACAAACAAGTAAGAGGAGAAGAAAAGAATGCTTTTCTTTTCACACAATGCTGTTAACAATCTAGTTATTTCTCTGCTATAATAATCCAAGCCATGATGTGCCTCACAGACCATGGTGGCATTACTGCAGGGATCCTCACCTTTATCACCTGCACAGATCTTTTCTATTTTATTTCAAGTTGACAGACAAGTCATCGTATCACTTATTTAAAGAAGTGGCATAATGAAGGATACATGAGGTGCTTTGGAAGCTGAAAGAGTTCCTGTCTCCAGAATTTACTAGTCCTCTAGTCTGTGGACTGCAGTCATCCCAGAGCTAATCAGAACTTGTGGGGAGTTGATCTGTTAGAAACAACACTATTTAAGGCATAAAGGACATATATCAGTTCATGATAGTGAAAAGCCTAGAGTAGCTCTAGAATGGCAAGGCTGGATTCAGGTGTTCCAACACCGCCATCAGAGAGCTGTCTCTCTCCAATTCCATCTCACCACTGCACAGCGAGAAAGCTGCCAAGAGCTCCACATTCATTTTCATCGTCTCATAAAGCCTACTGGAAAGAGAGTCTCTTCCCAGAAGTTCCAAAGAAAATCTTGGGATTGTGTATCATTGCCGTAGCTTAAGGAGATGAAATGGCTAGACCTGTGCTCATCCGGGAGCTGACAGTGAGGCTGCAGACCGCAAATCACAGAGAAGTGGCTCCGAATGTAGCTGAGTTGTTGTTACCAGAAAATGAGTGAACAGGTACTGGGCAAACAAAGACAAGAATCAAGGTGGACAGCTGACCAGCCAGCAGGCACTGGCTCATTTCCAGCTGACCCTAGAATTTGTCAAGTGTTCCATGCTCGGTGTTTCAGAGGCTCTGCAGAACCAGATCACCAGAGAGAGGAAGGAATCAGTGTACACTCCCCAGCAGTGACAGAAGAGAAAGGCATCTTTTGTTAAGGAGCAAAATTGCACACCCAGCCCCAAACCCACCACCATTCCCCTGGCTTTTCTCCTCTTCCCTCCAGCCCACGCTCCAGCTCACCCTTGTGCATCCCAAAGCTGCCAAGTAGGGATTTTTTTGGGGGGTTGCTGTTTTCTTTTTCCTTCCCATTTGTCCTTGAAAATCATCTAAATCTAACATTCTTTTAAAGTAAATAGCCTCTATGGATGACTACTGGTGAGTTCAGCTACACCAATAACTTAACAGAATTTTACACTCAGAAGTATGAAACAATACACATCTGAAACCAGTCATTCAAAATAAAGTTTTATGTGCAGCAACGCCAGAGCAGGGATCAAGACTCAATGGGATAACACAGATTTCTAACTGTATAAAATTGGAGGAGGCAGAAAAAAAAAAACTCGGCAATTTGCTTCAGATGCTGTATCTCCTTAAAGAGAATTCTAGACCTCACAGTCCCTGGAGGATGATCCCAGTGGCCTCCTGTGTTGAATACAAAAGAATCAGAATGTTCCCTCCTTCAAGGAAGGCAATCATATACTTGTTGAATGGTTACTAAGAAAATCCAAACGCTAAAGGACAAAAACATAGAGTTGGCTATTATGGTGAAGATTCTAGCTTCTATAGGCAGTTTGAGAAGGAAGCTACATCACAGGACTGCTCAGAGTTATTCAGGAAGGTCTGCCTCACAATATGGGACAAATGTCAGTGTTATTAGTTATATCTGATAGGATTCTTTGATGACAAACTATTGAAATCCACACTGGTTAACTTAACCATAAAGAGAGTTATCAAAAAAGCTACACTGTGGCCCACAGAATTGAAAGAATGGCTAAAGAATGAATGAACACAACAAGGGCAAGACCTCTCCAGGGATCAAGGCAGCAGCAGAAAATTGGTATCCTAGCAGGGTGCAGCTTTTCCATCCAGATATCACTGCTCAAGGGTTTAGTGTCCCAGAAGAGAAACTGATGGGCCCAGACTGGGTCACATGCCACTACCTGGTTGTCAGGGGTTGTAGCACGTGGAGTGTGGAGAAGACACTTAGATACCTTGATTGACTGTTCAACCAAGACTGCACCCAGTGTGGAGAATGTAATTCCAAATGAAATCGGAGTACTATTACTTGAAAAAAAGGCAATGGTGCACAGTAGAGAAGGAAGAAAGAAGGAAGGAAGGAAGGAAGGAAAGAAGGGAGGGAGGGAGGGAGGGAGGGAGGGGAGGGAGAAAATAGAGAGGGAGGAATAGAAGAAGCAGAGAGAAACAAGAAGGATGGGAGAGGGAGGGAAGGAAGTTTCTTAACCTTTCTATATTTTAGTTTCTGTTCTATAAAATGGAAGTAATTACTGTATCTTCTTCCTAGAAGTGTTATGAATACCATGTAAAACACCTAGCACAGGGTCTGAAACACAGTAAACGCTCAATAATTTCAGGCATTTGTCCTAGATGGGAAGCCACAGAAGGGACATTTGTCAAAAAGAAACAAGAAACTATGTGCTGCTGTGAAATAATTGATAAATTATTTGTTTATTATTAATTTAACTTACTGAAAATTATTAAATGATTTATTATCCAAGGTATATAGCAAAGCAATAGAAAGAGATACATAGTGCAGTGTGTCCCCAAACTGGAAAAACTTAGACGCAACGTTAGTTGACAGAGTTGTCTACCCACGAAAGTGGGGTTGTTATCTGAGTTTTCAGCATGTATTTTAATGCATCGGTGTGTACTTAGTCCAGGTAGAAAGTCCTAGATGACCGCCATCCCTGAGATATCCAAGGAATAGCTAGCTGCACATTCAATCCCGCAGCCCTCTTGCATTGGCCATTAAATGCCTGCTCTGCTACACCAGCACAAGGTCCCCAGGTCTGTCACACTTGGCATCTGCTTAAGTCTGCTTGGAATGATGACAATTAGGGTCCCATGCTGGCTGGCAATCCCTTCCATGCAGCTGCACTAAAGGAAACCTCCAGCAGAGGAATGGTGTTATTAGAGGCAAACCAGCCATCAATTTGCTCTGTTGTTAGGTTCCAATTACGCACAGCCAATTATGGTGGTGGGGGAGGAGAGATATCTCAGGTAAGAACTCTGAGTTACATATACCCTCCATGGAAGCAAGCCAACCTTCTAGGAACAGTGTTCCTGTGCTGGCACCTCAGCCACGCAGACTGTCAACTAGCCAGTCCTTCCTACACCCAAACCTACGAATACACATGATACGCATCTGATGAGCATTTCCCAGAAAGCAAGTGTATTATTGAAAATGGAGAATTGAGTTGAGCTGAAATGAGAAAGGGGGAGGCATCCCCATTCGCCTGCTATGTTTCCATCACTGGGAGCGGCTGCTCTGTTCCATCCTAAAGGGGAACTGCTCTCTTCTGCATCATCATGTCATTTTTATTATGCCAGCAAATGATAAGGCAAAAACCCATCATCACAAACCAGCCTGTGAAAAACTAACGAACAATATGAAGTTGAAAATGTAGAAGAAAGTTTTGCATTTCCTTTCACCTGTAGGGGAAAAAATGATGAAGCCCAAAGCAAGCTCCTCACCATTCTGCAGTCCATCTTACTTTAAAATATACGGCATACAGACTGAACAGGAAGATTTCTGCTATGCACGGCAATTGTTCCATTTTCTGTATTTCATAACCTGCAATTTTGAAGCCATGCTTGGTACACACGCTTGTAAAATAGTCATATCAGATAAAAGCAGAGGGATGCTAAACTATTGGAAAATAAATCAAATTCTCAGCAAGCCGTTATATCCATCATGTTGCAGCAAGCGCACGTATAGTTTAAGCTCTGCGCGCACAGTCTATCCATTGTAATGATTTGGGGTCAGGATCCTGCCACATGCATTTAGCATTCACTAAGAAGTAAACCCAGGAGTATAGCAGGGAAAAGTGCCGAACTGTAGCTTTTGGTCCTGGAAGTTGCCCTGGATGTATTTGTTTGAGTACAGCCATTGTATTTAAGCAGCAAGGCAGAGATGAATTAACACATGCATAGAACGTGACCATTTATAAGGAGCTTGCATGAGCATTATCTCACTTGATCCCCAAAAGAAACTCAGAAGATGAATGGAGAAAAACACTTGCATATTACAGTAGCACAGAGACATTTGGAAACATCTGTGAAATGTTAAGTAAAAAATCCGAAAACCCATCCACACCCAACCCCATTCAAAACTAGGGTGGGAGTGTTAGAGTGATACGTTTCAGCAGTGTCTTGTCCTAGAAAAGCATATTCACATTTCACCACAAGAAATATTCCATGTCTTTGATTTTTTTTGACACAAACATAAGGCTAGTTTATTAGACAATTGCACAAGACTTTGCGAAGCCTTATGTAAGCACCAAATGCAAAAATTGTTCAGAGAAAAACCAAAACTCATAAATGTCATTAAACAAAAGACCACATATTACACTGTATACTAATATGGAGTATTAAAAATATTTCAAAATGTTCAATGTAAAAAATAGAAAAATTTAAGAGCCACAGATTTTACTTGAAAAAATATATATAAATCTTCAAATTCCATGTCTGAATATCACAGAAAAGCCACAAGGCTGCATAGTAAGTCTTAACTTCATCAATATAGCACTCTCCCAGAAACGAATGTCCAACAAGCTTCCAATTTCCTCAAATCTCCTCTTCCTTTCAGGATGAATTCTTCCTGATTTTTTTCCTCCCTGCTTGCCAAGACCCCAAATTTGATCATCCAAATCATTTTCGTTCCCCTGCTTTCCACTTCATAGTACTTGTCCTTCCCCTTTACCATTAATTGAAAACTTAACCCTGCAACCATGCTGCAAACCACACATTTCACCTCTGGAGAGGATCACAGGATTCCATAATCTGGCCCCTATATTAATCAGCCTGACTGCTACCACAAAGTATCATAGACTGGGTGGTTTAAACAATGAGCATGCATTT